GAGCTAGGAGCTCAATCCAGGTCTCCGACTACTTAAATCATCGCCTGCTGCCTCCAAGAATGCACCTTAGCTGGAAGTTAGAATCAGCAATGAAACTGGGACTTGAACCCAGGTACTCCAATATGGGGTGCGAGTGATGCAGATGGCATCTTCAATGCCCACCATGGAATACTAATTTGTTAAAAAAATCATGTTACTGCACTCAAATTGTTCACAGTAAATTTTAAAATCTTAACTCATGGCCACAAACCACATTTTGACAGACATGCTCTACATTTGTGATATTAGAAATAGAAAGCAACAGTTTCTAGAAAGTGTCAGCTAATTTTTTAAAAATAGCACCATACCACAAAGACAGGTTTTACTGACATGCTAAGAAAAATGTTAAGGAGATTTAATGGCATCACTATGAAAATGAAATGGATTCTGGAAATTTTACTGCAATTGCTCTACAAAGACCAATATTTAATTAAGACTTTGTAATGGAATATAGTGTGATATGATCTCTGGATAATGAAAATAATTCTAAAGTAAAGTATAGAAAATAAGGGAATGAAAGTAGAACAGAATAAAATAGAATCATTGTACCAAATAACCTTCAAAAGAATACACATTTTTTTAAAATCATCAAGATTGGTTCATTGGATTTAATATATTTACTGCATCCCTTTTCTGAAGAGGAGTTATAAATTATAGACTCAGTAAACTTGGTTTTGATATGCAGTTTTTACACTTTTAAAGTTCCTATGCTATGAAGAATTTATTCTTTTATATCTTACAGATATAGGTAGAATGGCTATGGATAAGAACACAGAGATGAAGAAATGCAAGAGAAGGTAGATACAGATGGTTGCTCTGTTTCCCTGGAATTGCTAATCCATAAACTTCAAACTGCCTCGGTATGCGTTCTCTTCTCCGGGAATTTGTTCCATCGTTTGCCTTAAAATGAAAGCTGGCTCTCGCTGAGGATATTACTCTCTGATATGCTCTCCAGGTGGTACCTAATAGCTTCTCCTTTCAAGCATCCAGGGAATCCAGCTGATAACCCCTTCTTTGTTGCTACTTCCTAAGTCACTCTGTATTAGGCCAAAACTAACAGGAAGACTATTAACCATGATTGATAGATAGATAGATAGAGAGATAATAGATGGATAGATAGATAGATAGATAGATAGACAGATAAAGAGACCCAAAATCCAAAAAACAAACCAAGCCCACCCCTTTGTAGCTCATAATACAGAGGAGCCTTCCCATCCCATCTCCTCCATCTCTCTGATCCAAATTCACCAGTCTGCTACATCTCACCCACCAGCCGTCTTTCCTCTTGCTACTGTACTGATGGCTCCTCAAACTGCAAGTACATTTGAATCGCCTGAGTGAACTTGTTAAATTCAGATTCCAACTCAGTTCAGAACACCCAGAGGCTCCGAATTTCTCATAAATCCTGTGATAAGCTGTGGTTCTCTTTGAATGGCAAAGCATTGGAAGAGCTGTCTCTGATATCATCTAACCTACTGTATTCCTGAGAGTTCATTTGAGCTTTGACACTCATTTCTTCTTGCTTTTGTTATTTTAACATTCCTTTAGTGCCCCTTGCCTTTCTAACACAGTGTTCTCATTCTTTCATCCTCTCTCTCTCTCTCCTACTCTCCCCTCCACCATCTGCTGAAATACCATCTTTTTTATGAAGTCAAAACTACACTAAAACATCCCCCATTTAACCCTTTATTCTACCTACCTACTACCTACCATCTAATGTCACGCCTTTCACAGATTTTTTTTTTTTTTGGTAGTTGATAGTCTGATTTCATTTTAGAATAGCATAAAGTAAAAGTGATCTAGGAAGTTGCAACAGTCGAGGTGGACAGGAACCATATATCCTGAAAGTGTGATAAGAGAAACTAACTGGACACCATTTCGTGGAGGTTATGGAAATGACCTGCTGGCATTACTATGTATTCATCTCTAATTCAATGTGAGTGTGGGCTCACTACCCCACAAACACAGCATTCCGTGAATTCATCAGTGACCCCACATTGGAAAGCCAAACATGACACTTTCATTCCTCACCTAGGAGAAAGTTCTCAACAACACTGAATGCTGTTAATCACTCCCAGCATTTCTGCACATTGTCCTTGGTCAAGCAATAACGCCCTAATTTCCTTGATGCCATTCGAGGGACTCTTTATCATCTGCTTTGCAGGTCCAACAGCTTCTATCCAGCTATTAGATTGGGAGTTTCATTAAAGGGCTTCTCAGTCTTTCAGGTCTGATGCCTACTTCTTTGTCTGAATGCAAATGATCTTAGATTTATGTCTCCAGTTTATATGACTTCTTTGAGTTTGCCTACTCAACACCTTAGATGTCTCAAAAATAGACATGAGATATGAAGCTAAATTAATAATCTCTACTCCACTAGACTATGCTATTATTACTTAACCAGATACACAGTCCAGAAAACTAAGATTACATTCTTAACACACTCTCTTCTCCCTTGCTACCAAATATCAAATCTATTTTCTCCATCTCTACCATCACCTGCACTCCAGTATCAACAAATGTCTTCTCTTGATAGGGCTACTGCAGTGGCTTCCTATGGAGATCTCCATTCCACTGTGCTTTTCCCTCTTTCATCTGTTCTACATCCTGAAGATAAGGTAGTTTTTTGGAAACAAACTCTTGATTATCCTCGCTTTCCTCTGCTCATACTGAACTTCTTCTAGACCCTCACACTTGCCAGATGCCCTCCCACCATAAGCATTTGCCTACGTAGAATGTTCTTCCCCTGTTCCTCCTTCTGATGTCATCTCCATTACCATTGTATCAGTAAACCTTATATTCACCTCTGGGAGGAGGCCAACTTCATTCATTAGAAGACCATATAGAATCATGCACTTCTCCACCACATTTGTGACCCTTCCCAGAGAGCACAGTGTATTTCTGCTATTGTTTGCTTGGTCTTCTCAGTACCAGCTCAACTATCAGCCCTAAGTAGGTACTCTCACGCTATCTCTTGGAAGTAATAAATACTTAGATACAGTAATTGACTAACAAATCTTGATTAATATGGCACTTGAGCTGGGCACTATCTCTCTGTTTCTACTGCAGAATAAGTGGAGAGAGATGAATTGCAGATACTTCAAAGAACAAATTCCAATGGTATTTGCTGAGAGATCTGTATATCGTGACAGAGGAGTTTAAGTTGATTCCTAGCTTGATCTGAAGGATGGACCTGGAGAATGCTAACAGCCAAAGACAATGCAAGGGTTCAGCTAATGAAAAAGGATGAGTCCCATTGACTTATTTTGGGATACACTGAATTTTAGGTGACAGACTCACAGGCAGAAATGGCCTGAAAATATTTTAAAGTGTAGGAAAGGATGTGGTGTGAGGTATCATCTAGGCAACTTCAGCTCATCTGCCTTCCTTCTGCCCCTCTCAAGCAAAAGTATTTCTCTGCCTCCACTCTCTCTGTGTTAATAGCACAGAAAGAGCCAGACATCTTGGAGCCGCTCTTGTTTTTCTCTCATCCCATATTCCCCAATCCTTTTCTGTCACGGTCTGTATTTCCTCTCTTCTCTCATCCCAGCCACTTCCGTGGACTTTCACCTGCCGATTTCACTAGCTTCCTCTCTGCTCCCCTTGCATCCAGGCTTGTTCTCCTGTCATCCACTGTGCCTCTTCCTCCCAGGACTTTTCCAATACAAGCAGGATGTCACTTCCCTGCTGAGTATGTTTAAAAAGCTTCCGGGGCCTACAGCATAAAATCTGGACCTTTAGCTAAGTCTTATGAGTTATTCCTGAAATTCTTGAACAGGTTTTTCTCTGCAAGACAACTTATTTCCGCTCCCTCCTTATTCCAGCTCCTTTCACCAACCCAACCCTAGTAGACCTCGTGGTATCCCAGCTACCTCTTGCCTTAAACATTCACCTCCCTCCTTCTAGTCTTAATGAAAATTGACAGAGGAAAAGGCATTGTATTGCAGTGTGTTGTATTTGTTCCTAGCGTAGAGACAATTTTAATTAAATTTATTTATGAATGATTTATTTATTTAAGTCAGAGTTACAGACAGAGAAGGAGAGGAAGAGAGAGAGAGAGGTCTTCCATCAGCTGGTTCACTCCCCAGTTGGCTGCAGTGGCAGATCTGACGCCAGGTACAAGGAGCTTCTTCCGGGTCTCCCAGGTGGGTGCAGGTACCCAAGGACCTGGGCCATCTTCTACTGCTTTCCCAGGCCATAGCAGAGAGCTGGAGCAGAAGTGGAGCAGCCGGGACTTGAACCAGCGCCCATATAGGATACTGGCACTGCAGGCAGCGCCTTTACCCACTATGCCACAGCGCTGGCCCTGACAATTTTATTTTTTAACTCGCCTCCAAGTCTAAACTCAATGTGGTTTTACAAAGCCTTCATCCCTACAACAGTTTTACCCCTTGGTTATCTGCCAGCTCACTGCAACAATGCTTAGCAGAAAGTCTGCTGAGTCACTGTCTGTCACATAGGCGAGGTTAAGCTCATTATTTATCTCTTGACGCAGTCTGGCTACAGCCAGCTTGCTTATGCGGACTCTGTGGTCACACCTTTCTCCCAGGTGGCAAATACTGGCCGTGGACCTCACCAAGATGGCTCCCGGTGGGCGTCGGGACGGCCTACGTCATCACGCGCCCGGGTGAGGGTGGAGTCCCTCGAGGGAGAGTGGGCGGGTCCAAGCCGGGCGGGGCGTGGCCTCGCGGCGCGGCGCGGGGCGGGGCCGCTGAGGGGCCGGGGGGCGCTCCTCCATTCAGCCCGTGCGCGCGGCGGCGGCGGCGGTGGCGGCGGCGGGAGGCAACGTCGGGGAGAGTCCGCTCGACGCCCGGTGCGGCGACCTTGCCTAGGGGCAACGAGTTCGGAGCGGACGGAAGCCAGCGGCCACCGGGGCAGGCGCCGCGTGCGGGAAGCACCCCCGGATCGGGGAAGCCCCGGGAGCCGCGCGGCGCGGCTTCCCCTCACCTCAGGGGTCGCGGCGACGGTCACCGGGGCGACCCGGGCCCGGCTTCCGAAGCGACATACGGCTCCGGCCCCTCCCCCGCCGGGCCGCCTCACCTTCTGGCCGCCGCCCCGGGGGAAGGCACCTGTGCCTCCTCGCGCGCGGGGGTCGGCCCGGGCAGCGCCCCTGGACGGGCGCGCGCTGCTGTCGCCGCCGTCCCCGGCCGCCACCGGGTCCCGAGGACCGTGCAGCCCGCCCGGGGCTGGGGAGGGGGTAGCTTGGGGAGAAGGAGTGGCCGCGGGCCGGGCACCATGAACGGCGGCGGCGCCAACATCACCTACGCCAGCCGCAAGCGGCGGAAGCCGGTGCAGAAAACGTGAGTGTCCCGGGAGCGTCCCCGCCCCCAAAGCCCGGAGTCGGGGTTGGAGAGCCGGCTTGGGTTCTTTTTTTTTTTTTTTTTTTTTTTCCCCGTTCCCCTTCCCTGCGCGAGGGTCCCCGTGGCGCGCGAGCCCTCCTCCTCCTCCTTTTCCTCCTCTTCCTCCCCCTCCTCGGGAGCGGTGCTCAGGCGTTGGCAGCCCCCGCGGCTTAGCGCGCCCTAAGCCGGCGGCTCAAATCCCCTGTGCGCGGGTGCTGTCGGCGGGGCGAACTGATTTAAAGAGCCACGCACGTGCGTGGCCTGCAGAGGTGGTCTTTGTGGGCTGCGGGGGCCGGCGCTCCGTGGCCCCGGCTCGCGCGTACCGACTGGGCAGGAGGTCCGACCGCGTCGGTGGCCGGCGTGGGGCTGCGGGCAGGTGCTGCGGTGTGGCGCGCAGATGCGGGCCCGCGCTGGTGCCTTTTTTTTTTTTTCTTTTTGCGAGGTGTCGGGGCGGTTTTAGGGTTTGCAAAGGAGGACTTAGTGAAAGAGGTTTTCGTTCTCAGCACCCCTATCCCCGGTTTCCAAGCGGTGCCAGTTCTGATGGAGGGATTGCACACTTGGATTGGTGTGGGTTTGGGTGAGGTGCGTGTTAGGTGAGATGGCAGGTTGTAAAAAATAAAGAATAAAAAAAAAATGCGTGCTTTGGGAACAGGTTTTTTTTCTTGCGTGAGTGGCTTACTCCTCACCATCGCCCTCCTGAGTTCCTTCATTTGGGTTCTTGGGATCTCACGCACAGTTTTTAAGAATGCCTCAGCGTTTCAGTGCGAGCGAATCGGAAGCGTGCGTGTTGCCCCCAAGCCCTGCTGTCACTGCTGCGGACCCGAAAGATGACAGTTGGGTATTTTGAGCGATGGTTAAAAGCGGTTCTGATTCCCCCTGGAAGTTCCTAGGGATGCAGACGTAAGAGTGGGCATTGAGTGGCCATGAGGACTCTGGGTAGAATTTGGACGGCTGAGGGTCCCAGGGGTCCCAGGAGTTTTCGGTGCTGGCAGCGAGTTAGTTCCCAGTGCTGTTCATTCAGTAGAGTGGTTTACATTAAAACCTGGTTGATTGCCCTTTATCGTCGGTGAGTTAAATGGGAGACGTCCCCGATTCCTGTCGTAGGTGTAATCCGCAGTAGGGATATTGGGGGGGGGGTGTTTATGGTCAGAAATTGTGAAGGTCTCCCTTGTGGGTTTCTAAGAGACCGAGTTTCAGTCTCTGTACCACCAAAAGGCACTGATGTCTCCGTAAAACGAAAGTACGTGCCTTAATTTTGCATTCATAGTAAAGATCACTTTTAGTTTCTCCTTTGAGCATATTGCATTTTGCTTTAATTTATGTAAGATGTACCTTTTAGTACATTACCTTAACATTTTGATATACTTCCTGAGGATTTAATATATCCTTGATTTAATAATTGATAGTGATGTGATGTAACTAAAGTATTCTGCGTTTATTATTCTGCGTTAATAGAGATGTCTGTCAGCTCTCTGCTGAGCACCGTATCTTGCTTCTAATTACGCAAATGCCTTAAATGTCAACTTGTTGTATAAGAAAAGCCGGGTGCCCCCATGTAACTGATCAGCTGAAAGTGTTTATATTCTTACTTGAATGAAAAATGGTTAAATTTATAATTCACTTAATCAAACTCCACTTTAGGATGTGGCTCATAAGCCCAACATTAAGTTTGACTTGAACTTTTAAATTAAACTGCTAATTTGTGGCTAATGAAGCCTAAAACATGTCAACACTGTCTGGGAAAACTACATCTTGTTTGAGCTGAAGCTGCTATCAGACTGCTTACGCAATAGCCATTTTATTTTACTTTCAGAAAAAATACACTGCAGCATAAAAGTAGGACTGTTTTAACATAGAGACCCCCATTAAATATACAAATCCATACAATTTTGAGATAAAGTAAATGACATAATTTTAACGTGAAACTCTTTTCATCTTTAATTCATTAGGCAAAATTTACTCCCCCTAGTGGCAGTTCCCACATTGAAAAATTATCTTTATCCTTGAGAAAGTTTTAAATGCATTAAACTTAAGCCCACTGGAGCATTGTATGTGTAGCAGGCTCTCAGTGTTTTCTTTCTCTGTGGCGATACAAAAGTTAGGAAATGAAAAGATCTGAAACAACTGAACATGGGATCCACATTCTTACATTTAAGAGGCAACTTTGAAAGATAACCTTAGGCATAGAATCTGCTGTAACTTTCCTCAGATTGTCATTCCGTCTTTAGCAGTCCTGCTCAAAAATGGAACAAGTATTTTTATTTAAATCCTGTCTTCTTTTACCTTGTGAGATGAAAGCCTTTCTGTGTGTTTTAATTATTTTATCTTGTGAAGAGAGCTGAAAGACCCGTAAAAGAAAAAAATGAAATCTATTTTTCTCTAGTGAAAACAACTTGGGATATGCTTTTATATTTTGAAGTTTCATCAGTACAGAAAAACTTTTACTGGTGTTTCAATTTAGAGTGTTTCTAGAAACTACTAAATGTTGGCAAATAGTGTTGAATAAATGACCTCCACACTTTAAAGTGATCCCAGCAGTGCTGGGGATCAAGGCAGCCGTCAGGAAGTGTCAGATTTGGAAGTCAATTCTGAGTCTTACCTGTTCCTTTGTTAAAAATGCATTCTGAGGAGAGATTTTACTGTATCAACATGCTAATAATAGTAACATAATATAAAAGCTGTGTCTTTCCTGCTATTCTTGTTAAATTGCTGTTCATTGTATTTAAACACCATGAATCTCAATTATATAATAAGGAGCTACTAAATTTTATTACATTATGTAATATCCATTAAATGCTTCCCAGAAATGTGATGTGATGCTGTTTACTAATAGATCTAAAGGAAAGGGCTAGGTCCTTTCAGTCACCCAATTCTCCATCAGCATTGTTCTTGGAGATAGCTTTATTTAGACAGCTTATGTGCAGTGAGCATTAGACACCTTTGCACAGCACAACTCTGAAGTGCAGTGAAGGGGAAGTGTTTAGTGATAAGTAACATTAAATGGCAGGAGGAAAAACATGGCATCAAACTGGAGAACACTAGACCTGAACTAGAAGGTGAGGTCCAATTTCCTCAGTGGTGCAAATCTGGGCAAGTCTCCTGTTGGGGAAAGCGGGACAGTGAGTACCCTTGCTGCCTCCCTTGCTACTCAAACCAGCAGAACCAAAGTGTCTTATAACTTGCAAAAACTGCTGAAGGTTTAAATGAAATGGAGGTACACTTCTGTTTGTAAAGTAATTTCATCTTAAAATGTCACAGAACTATCTGTTCTCCTGTGAAACAGTAAGAGGCAGTATCAATTCCAGATACTGCTGAGATGTGCTGCTTCCCGGGTGAAGAAGCACACGTACTCCATGCTTGTCATGTTTTAATTAAAGGGGTTACTTAGAAACAAGGATGGTGCCCATCTTCCTACCCGGTCCCTTTCCACCTCCATGCTTTTAAAGTTGATTTGTCTCATCGGGGTTTCCCATAACAGAAATACGGTTCATTAACACTTTGATACTGTTGTGCATGGTGCTTTACTTACCTCATATTGTTATATTTTTATAATAGTAAGAAAGGTAGTGTTTGTGTGTGTGTGTGTGTGTGTGTGTATGAATCTGAGGATCACAAACAAAATTGCTCAGGTAGTAAGTGAAGGAGCAGATACTGGGGATTGGCTCACAGCTCTTTTGGCTCCAGAGCTTCTGTTCTTAGCAAGTTGGCAATACTGTGCAGGATACCTGGTAGCCCTCTCCTGGGCGATTCCTCTTGTCTGCTGTCTTTAGTGTTGTGCCTGAAATCACTTCTTCACTTTTTCCTGCGTGTGATGTGTACTTGGCTCATCTCATAGGTTGTATTCGTTGCCTTTCCTCCTAGCTTACTGAATTGCCACCTGCCACGCCCTTTAAGCATTGTTTTTAATGACTGCGTAGTACTCTATTTTAGAATTTATATTTTCCTTTGAGGAGGAAATTCTGTTATTTCTGGCTTTCCAGTATTTAATTCATCCTTCAGAAACACTTGAAGTCATGTACATTTTTATGCAAATTATAATTTTCTTAGGAAAAGTTCCTGTGGGTGAAAATTTAGGCTGTAGAAGTATTTGTACTTCTAAGATTGAGCCAAGTATTACACTGTGAAATATAGTGTCAGACAACTCTGCATAAAGTTTGCCAGTTCTGTTGGCATTTTGTGAATGTGCTTGTACCCTTGCATTTTTGCTTAAAAATCTCATTGGAAAAATGTGGGCTCGATCATTGAGCTTACAGTGCTGTGTTGAGAGTGTGCTTGTGTTCAGCAGTAAGGACTGTGTCTGTTCACAGATTTTCTGCTTGCAGTATCTTTCACATGTTGATTTGCTTTGTCTTCTAGTTTTCCATCATCTTTCAGTTCTTTTTTAATTGAAATATTACTTGAAATTATATTCCTATTAAATAATATATGCACATTAAAATTCAGTAATGTATATGTAGTTGTATCTTAAGTTTAGCATGTTAGGTTTTATGTTTTGACATAATAGTGTGATATTTTGGATTTTAGTACTCTCTTATCTTCCCTTTACTTTTTCCACCTTTCTTCAACCTCCCAATATAATTTTTATCACAATTTTGGATTAAACTAACTTTGCTGTTTCGTTACTTTTGACTATGTAAATATTGTTTACCGCTGGACTGAGTAACGGCAGTTACCATTCCTTTCCTGCCCTGTGCCATCATCGTTTTTTGTTTTTTTTTTTTGCTACCTATTTTTCATCTTCATATTTATTTGCATCTGGGTTTTACTGTTGCTTGGGAGTATTGGAAACAGAGTTTGTATTGTAGTCTCTGCTTTCCTGTGTGGGCGTGATTTTCTGGAGGAGAAGGATGGTTGCAGAGAATTCTGCATTCTCACATCATGAAGCTGGAAGGGTCTTGTCCGTTTTAGGAGCCTGTTTAGATGCCACATCTCCGTGAGCTCTCTTACCTTGTTACAGGATG